TAGGAATAATTCAACAAAACCCCAGTTTACAAAACGTAAAGGGCAGTCACGTATTGCCATAGGCCAAGCACAAAACAGCCGGCAGGAAGGGATTACAGAGAGGGCCAGGGGAGGTAGAGAACGAAAAAGGGGGCATTAGAGAAAAAAGTAGGGAATTAGTGAAAAAGGAGAGTGCGGGACGAGTGAGCGTCAAACTGTGGAAGGTAGTTAGCCTGAGACGCGACATTTTACAGTCAGAAAGAAGGGTGCAACAGCGGGGGTGTAGGGAGAACGGCAAACGCACCAATTTGAGCGCACATCGGCGTGATCCGACGGAGAAATGAGAGAGCAGAAGGGCCATTACCCAGCGAGCACGAGAGAGAGCGCAGCATGACGAGGAGCAGGAGGCGAGGCCGAGGTTAGGTGAGTGGTGCAGCGCATGAAAAGCAATACAAAGCGAAGGTCAGCGAAGGAGCCGTGCGTGCAAAGTGAAAAAAGGTGAACAAACTGCGGGAGAAGGAGAAACTGCACCCTGTCTGTCAGCTGCTGGACACGCACACGCACCCACGAACGCAGGCTGAGAAAATGCATGAATAAGATGCACTGCGGATGCCCCTAATTTTGTCAGAGAGGTTAGTCACTAGCAGCCTCAGCTACACAGTGATCTAGATGCAATAACTGTGGAAGGGAATGACCTGACTAGCCGCCCGCCAAAGTCTTTAAGTGGGGCGAGGCATTCTTATTTATGCAGAAAAGGTGGATGATCGACAGCAGGATCAAATAATTGCCCGAAAATGAAGGAAATAGACCCAGAACACTACGCGCCCGACAAGGTGGGTCTAGTTAACCTGAATACCCAAAATTCCTAGGATTGCAGCACATCACGGGGTACGCGGCCCACATATTCAACAGAAATACCGTTTTTAAGTAGGAAAATATCAATCCATGATGGCTAGTAGTTTACAGGCAATATAAATAGCACGTCTCACAGGTGTAAAGAATCCAAATTAAAACGGCAACACAATAGGATGGTCGAGGTTCATACATATCAAGATGTCTGCATTACAAAATGGAAACGGGAGTCTGAGGTGGAGGATGAAAGGCGAAAAAATGTCCTACAATCAGACTCAATATAACTTTATGGAGACAGATAGGATTATTTGTTGAATGCATCCAAAAGTTCTAGCGCCGTTTGGGTAGTTAATAATACTTAAACAGGTCGTTACTAGCCACCAAAAATTAGCACAGAAAGTCAGATATATCGCTGTGGAAGAGAGCCAGTGAAGTAATAAAATATCCAATAACGGCCATTAAAAATAGGTCGGACGCGAGAATATGAGCCGCCCGTACTGCAGGTGGCTTTGCGCTAAATTCCAGTGGTAACGATTCTCGTGTGGTAACTTAGACCCAAACACCAGTCCCACTAACCTTGGGAGTTAGTGCAAGGCAACCGGTAATATGAGGTGCTCATACTCCCGTGATACACCAAAAAATAGATTGCGTTAATTGCGACAGAATCGAAAACTCCCGAGCTGCCAAGTTTCACTCAGTAAAAAGCCATTCAAGACTCACTTCCGGCTAGACAGATATCGATGCGAACGGGCGTGCAAGTACGCGGAAAAGCCGGCACATGCAGCGTTGACGGCCAAATAAGGCGATCTACGCGTGTGACTCGTCATGTTACGAGGCCAAACGGTTGAATATGCTGTACAAACATTCAGACAAAATGAGCGTACTCTGGGGGACGTCTGTTAGTTAATATGCAACCGTCGCAGGAGTTCTGAATAACAAAATTACTTAAAATGAAGCAACTACATAACTCCGCATACTAAAGCAAAAGCCTACTTTTCTGTGTGAACAGCCTAAAGAACTATTTTGCTTATCGATTATACATACCTGCGGAGTTAACTCAAACGGCCTAAAATACATACTACCTAGACGGCTGTTGCCGACGTTGTTAGGAAGTTCATCAGTGGAAAACTGAAATATGAAATCTGTAATTTCGAGTAAACATCGTTAAGAACTTGTGAGCTGGGTTAATAACTTCAGTCAGTGTTTCTCCCATTACCAGGTCGATTTCTGCCCAAAATGCTCTACATTTTTACCTTTTCGTGTACATACGGTTGTCATTATTTGTGAGCGCTATCGAAAATGCGCTCGCATGTGTTTTGTGACAAAAAGAACCATTTGTAAAACGCGCATAAAGTCGCATTGTTTAGAGATAAGTGGGCGAAAAACGTTAGACCACAGAGTCGGCAGATGTGGCGATCGCAAGAGCCAGGACAGGAGCACCGAAAGACGGTACCATCCTCATAGCCTAGCCCTAGAAAACGTGACGCTTCAACAAATAACGGACGGTGGGATGACCTTCGGTGAAGGTCAGTCGCGGAATTAGCAGTCTAGGGTCTAACGAATCAGCAGTCGCAAAACATAGAGTAGTAACAACGTCAGACTTGGCGGTTCATCAGCCCGACCAGTCGGGCATTGGGCCCCTCATATGCAATAGAGATTCCGACGCTTTCCACGGCCATCTAGTTTTAAACTGGTACGCTAGCATGGTGCATTGAGACGCCTTACCTCGAATCCGCGAGTTACGGACTTATCTTTCCCCCGTCAAAAGGCTACAATCAATCGCTGTCCGGCGAGTCACTGCTCGGAAAGTCGGATGACCGAAGGTGTTATGATCTGTGCATTCTGGTTGAACTTAGCGAGAGCTAAGGGTGTCTGGAGAAGCAATGCCGGTGATTATCGACAAGAACAACGTTCACTTAGACTATTGTCACGAGCTGAGATAGACTCCTGAAACGCAACAAACCCACAATATGCCTCCCAATAATACTACTGACAGTACGCAGCAGAGCGCACTAACTTAGCTTGACAATTGAACTACCATTCCAGGTGGTGACAGTGGGAAAACGAGGTTTTAAGGTCTCGTGAAAAGAAATAGTCCGGTGACGCCAAAAGGAAAACGAGCTGCTATCGT